TATGATCGAACTCCGCCTTCGCTACGGAAAGTTTATCTGGCGCTAATCGCCGAGGACGATGAAATACTGGACTGCCTGCTGTCGTTATCCTATGAACGATCTCATGTTTGATATCACCAGGATGATATCCAGCCTTCGTTACGCTGGCGAATTCGCGCAACAGATCCAAATACATCGAAGAAGCTTGACGCAGGAATCATAGCTACTACGTAACTTTTAAAACCAGCCTGTGATCGTTGAGTTAGGCCATCTATGATCTGACAGCGCTTAGGATCTACGATAATGCCATAGTGCTGAAAGAAGTCGAGGCCTAGTATTGCAGTAGGCACTTTAGCTATGATGAAAATCCAAGGAAAGTGTCTACGAAGACCGAGATTTAGAGTGATAGAACGTTCTCCATAGGATCGGATTTGTGTGCCATTTACTGCCTGGAGACTGTATACCGAGCAGTGTTTCAGGTCTTCTGGACGTGGGGGAACTACACTGACTTGGGCACCCGTGTCTACGAGGAATCGCATGCCGGATGTTACGTCCCGCAAGTAGAATAGGCGACCTGGCTCGCATATGCCAGCTTGCGTCGTCGCCATTACGTGCTGGCGTGGTCGTTTCCCGAATCGGAAAACCGACACGGTTTCACGCACTTTTTTGCCTTGTTGCGGAACCTACGGTGGTACCAGCATATGCCACGGAGACGACTAACACTCCGAGTACGCCGTTGATTAGATCGAGAGTTACTCCTTCGTCTAATGATGGCAATGGTAGCCAGCTGTTGTTGCAAGTAGCGTACGGCTTTAACGAGTTCGTCATCAGATGTACGAGGTGATAAGTTTGAGATCGTTGGCGTTTGTGTCTCCATTATCTTATCAGCCATAAGGGCCAAATCTTTTAGTTCGGTATCCTGGTGAGCGTTAGTCAGTATCTGTTGTACATGTATAGGGAGCCGTTGCATAAATAGCTGCTTAAGAATGGAATTCTCTGGGGGATTTTCACCTACCAAAGCTTGTATGGCTCGTAATAGTTGCGTAGGAGTGCGATCGTTTAACTGCTCTTCATTAAGTAGACACTGCACTCTTTTACGCTCACTAAGTCTAAGCTCACGAATTAACAAGTCCCCTAACTGTTGGTATGTAATGCTCGTTTTTAGGATATCCTGTGTCAGGAGCAACATTTCCGGTGGGAGTCGGGAAATAACGTGATGAACCTTTAAGGCATCCTTATGTATGCGATTGATTTCAAAAATGACTCGGCCTGCATAAACCATAGCTGGGGATACTGTATCCAAAATATTGGTAAACAACTAGTAGGTACGGTATTAATTTCCCCTGGTCGCTGGTCAGTCATATTAGCATACATGAAATGGTGGAAGTGACGATTGCACACGACTCACCGGATGATGTTTGCTGACTCGAAATATCCAAACTCACCTCGGGTCAACCACTTAACGACTTATCGTCAGGTCAACACTATGGTGGTAACGCTTTTTAGGTTGTAGAGTTCCTGGATTAATAACCCGTCATTCTTGGATGCCAAAAGGGATTGAAAACGTGTATCCCCATGATTGTATTTTGGGGCTCCCGGATGTTGTACACAAGGTGGTCTAGAGACAGCCGGCGGTTCGAAAAGGAATGCTGGTCGATGATGAAGTGTATGAGGTGTTTGAAAGAATAGTCGATACAGCTGGTGATGTTATCAGCTGACCGGCAGATTGTGTAATAAAATGTAAAAGGTACACTACAGCCCCTCACTTCGGAGCTGGCCTTGGTTGGATCGTCTCGACTCCCTGGTTCTGGTCCAAAGGACGATGAACACGTTTGGCTGGATACACTTGCTAATATGGCAAGGAGCCGACCTCAGTGGCGTTCGTGCTGTGAGTTTCTTTGTCCCACCCCGTCCTTCTTAGCCTCTCCCTCCAACCACGTTCTCACTATTTGACCTCATTTAACTTTGCATAATAATTTTTTTGCTACATAGTAGCCGGCTGGTAGCCTACCGGAACGATGCCCATCCGTTACTGGTAGCTCAGCTAGCTTGCACCTGTTGCATTCCCCCTTTTTTCTTTTATGTCTTGCGGCACAGTAGCTGAGGTGTTTTCCGCCTCTAGCTAACGTGTATTATAATCATGTTGGTGCTGATATCTTGCGATTGACAGTAATGTATAATGCTGGTGCTTTCTATTTGGCGCCTAGCACCAAACGCCCTGACGAAATTTTAGGTCTTCCATCATGTTCGAATAGACTACACTGGTTAGTCTATCTTTTTCGCACGGACCACTGAGACCTTGCCTGATGTTTACTCTCAGCACTATATCGGTATGTTGTGCTGATGCTCCAATGCTGTGCGACTACACACGGTTGAACGCGGGTTGGTACGCCGCTATTTCCCAAAACGGAGGCAGAAAAAGGGCCTGGACTCGGGGTGCAAAGACTGCAGATCGGGCGCGTTAAATTTACCGACATGTGTCCACTGACATTGCGCGTGATTGAGTGGGACTTTTAGACGTTATTTTGTTGGCACTGGGATGGGATATGAAGATAACCAGAAGTCCTAGGCGTTTCTTGCTCGTATCCTTTTCTAGTCATGGCCGTTGGTGTCTGTCACTTCATCTGCGACCAGCCTTGCAGAGTACACGGCGTCCAATATGTAAGGCAAACATTCAAGCCAAGAATTTATTACCTTTTCACCCCTTTGCGACTGCTTTTCCTTAGTATCTTGAGACTGGTGCTGGCCATTGAGCTCGTCCTGCTCCGGTTAGCATTCATGGCTTGTACTCCGAACTGAGCTGTTGGTGTCCGTTGGTGATGTACGAAGTTGTCCACGCAGAAACCACAAGTTGGGAGAAAATTCGATGTAAATTAGAGAATGGTCACCCATATTCTACGTGATTAAGCTAGTGAGCTCTTGCCTTGTAGTCCGCGAGTCATCAGTTTGAATCTGCTTATGTATACTTGCAGATTCCCAACCTTCATGCAACCACGGCAGTTTCATGGAGACGAAGCGTCGATACGTTGTTCCGGCATTCTGATGCCATCTCACTGTATTTAGATGCGACTCTTTTCAACAACCAACTAACTTATCAACATAGTACTGTATCAGCTCTTCACCGATGCTTCGCCTACGTGCAACCGCATGTGGTATCGGGTAGGCACGCTAGAAAAGGACATAGTTAATACGATAGGCACATGTCAGACGCCACTCCACAGTTCCTAGTGTCTCGTTTGGAAGGCGAGGAGGGAAATCATTGAATTAACCGAACTGTGGCTTACAGGTCATAGTTGAATAACTAAACTCAGTTAAAAGGACTTTTCCGGAACACTTTGTATGTGTAACAACACCACAGACATGGGGATCCGATGACTTCAGTGATCAGTCACTATAATCTACTTTGTAAGTACATATTGGGTTCCCATTGCCTACTGTTGGGCCAGTTCTTTGAATAAGGGATGCCGTTCGACACTGCAGAATGTTAGTGTGTGTGATGCTTATATTTCCTGCCTCAGTGAGGATTAGCCAGGTTTCCCTCGATTCGATCATGGTTCCTGGATTAGTGCTAGTATGGCGTTTTTGAATAATTCGTAGGTAAAGCAACCAACCTAATGTCTTCACTTTGACGACAGTTTTAGCTTTCCTGACAGACTACACGTCAGGTGTCCATCTATCAGGTTTTACTCAAGCTATTCCACCGTTGTGTACTAAACACCATGACCGCACCCACCGCATTTTGATGCACGGATCATAATTAACCATTATAATTAATATGCGACTATGGAAATATTTCGGTGTTGCTCCTCCCAGCACTAGTGTGCCAGTGTTGGGAGAAGCAACGCCGGAAAATTTCCATTTCGGATACGGTCCTTGCGATCGGAATGATCGAGGTCTACCTCTAAGTGAACCGAGGTCTCAACAGTGGTTGTGTGTCGCAATCCAACCACACAGCGCGTTCTTCAATTCCAACTTGGAACTTTTAAATTGCGGCTACTTTTCCGATGAGCTATGTTGTGCTTGCCTAGTACGTACCGGAAGTATTTTACCGAGTCATTTAAGCATTCTTTAAATATTTAGTTCATACACTGCTCTCGACGCATGATGCAAGCCGGCAACATCCCATTGCTTTCCGTTGTTAGGCAATGAGAGGATTTTCTAAGTGAGTTCGCTGGTTGTGGAACTTAACTCGTAACACGGAATACACCAGGTGTTGCGACATCCGCATAACCTTTGATCCTCCAGGCTCGTAGCCTTAAGGATCATAAGTCTGCCTCTAAATCTGAAGGCGCGGGTTTCAGCCTGCGTATGCTCTGGACGACCATCGCAGTATTTTTAGCCCACTTGGTGGTGGTGGTTGCGAGGCAGCGAAGTGTCGATCCTGCGTGCCGATGTACTGCTGATTCGTTTTGATTCTCGATACACCGTGCTACAAATCCAACCTAGTCTAAGTGTTGAACTTGACATTTGCTAGGTTGATGCCAAGGTGTTCTGAAGAACAGATCATTATTCGTATTGCTGCGGAGACCTTTTATAATAAAACCTTGATCTTGTGTAAACGAGAGTTTGTTTTACCAGAGTACACTCAGTATCCATCGACCACATGTCCTTGATTGCGCGCTCGACCCTTCGGAATACTCGGAAATTGCTAACGAACAACAACCAGTAGAAAACCAACGCACAGTCGATCTAGTCAGCCTAATTTCGCCAGGTAATTACTGGCATCTTTTGATAGCGAAACATTCGACTCCAGTTTATTGCACTACTAGCAGTTTGTCGGCCACCATTATGAAATTCGCTGTTTCCCAATTTTTGTGAGCTTTCGAATACGAATCGGTTTTTTAGGTTTTTCTTGTGTGAACATTTCTCTCCTGACGCAAGAGCTTCAGGCCAGGTTTTGTGTGTACTTGTATTGTGACTGTGTTTTGCCCCTGACGAAGGATTTTCTTCAGGTCAGGTTACTCGGTTTTCATTTTAGCATGGAATCTTGTTCAACCGGATGCGAGTTCTAAGCTATGCTTATGAAAGAATATCGAATTTGTCTCCCCCTTACGGTTACCGAATACCGAATCGCCCAACTGTACATGATACAAGTAAGCCATCCGAACTCCCCTTCAGTCTCCCTTTCCTCATCTGTATGATGACTGTTTCACAATTTTTTGTTAAGCCCTCGAATCACTGGGATGTTTTTCGTATACTTATGAAATGCATATACATATTAATTACGTTGGTTTTCTTGTTTGTTCAGCCGCATCAGCATCCAAGTTTGGAGTTTCTCTTAATATTTAGTGCTTTTAACGTTACTCGTTCGTCACCTACCCTTATAGTGCTGGATTTTTACACCATGTCACTGTATGTTTTCTAACTATTTGCTGAAAGGTATTGACTGCTTTCCTTACCATTAGTCCTATTTGCAACCGCATCTTTTATTGGAGCTTCTCCTCTCTACGGCTTCTTTCTTACTAACATCAGAGCTGATATTTCGCGGCTGTAGTCATCTCACAACAAATCGCCAAACACACCAAACGACTAGAACTATGCTTATTAAGGTCTTTGTGTAATCGTTACTGTGATAACAGTCGTCAAACACCCACATCTTCGTGCAACCCAGATGGTGTTACCAGTGTGTTTAATAATTTCCAATATTTTGCTTTTCTATCAATCTACATCTGTTGTATGTATCATGTTAGATGATGTCTTGTCAGCGACAATAAACAAAATGCCTAGTGCCCTGTCGACATTTTTCACTTAGCTTTATAGTAAAAATGCCAACAGATAGAGTACATGTGTTTCTTCCTTTGGGCTATTTCCTAGCATTACATAAAACGAACAAATTAGGCTGTTATACATCAATTGTCCCGCAGACTTAGTTGAACGGTGGCGCTTATTAGGCGTGCAACATCAAGTATACACCTGCCTGCCTGTTCATCTCAGCTCACACTGTGACTTCAATGTGCCATATGACCGCACGTGCAGTATCGCAGTTGCACGTGACTCTGTGCACTCGAGCTGCAAACCGATCAGCGAGTTTGCTTTCCCGACCGTTGTGGTGATCGTAGTTCGAGTACCTCATGATGTGTTCTCCATCCAAACAGCAGATTCAAAAACAACCTCAACCTTGGGACACATTCTATTTGCTGTGGTATTTTACTAATTTTGCCAGTTCATGTTTTTATCTGATTCCTGGAATATAAGATTGGTTATATTTCACCTGGGTGCATAATTTCCATCTGTTTGTTGGTTTATGATTCCTGCTGTCCCACCGCGAAGTGTGTCAATCCGTGCTTATCGTCTGAACAGGATATGCACAATCGGCTCTGAAACCTGAGTCCAATAATCTGAAATATGATGGGCGTAACTTAGACCACCTGCCTTTCTATAGGAACAGCTATCATCATGTCAGTGGATCCCTCCGCGATGTAGTGATTGCGGTCTAATGTTTCTAGAGTGCCAGCAATATCCGACCTCGTCTCTCCAGCTCACAGCCCGAGGTGGCCGACTTCCAAACAGAAATGAGGTCGTGTGTTCCAGTTGGTTACTTTTTTCGGTTACATGTACCGTTCTCGATGAACTGTCGGCCCGTAGCCTAGAGGTGACGAGCTTGTCTCGTAATCTTGCGGCGCGGGTTCGAATTCTCGTAGGCGTAAGCGTCCTCGCGGTATACTCAGCCCGCGTGCGACTGGTGTTAGTCGCACGGCAGCGAACCGCCGTTACGGCGTACAGCTGACTCATAGATGAGCTGGTATCCATCCTATTTCCACCGACACCGTAGTTTCGCGAATATCTTCCTGCTTTTTCCATTAGTTGCAATAAGGTTCATCGTGTATCACACCTCCCAACTGGACATTCGTCTTACAATACTATCATTGTGGGCCCACTCGTTCGAAATTTATCAACCCAATTTGGACATTAGCACCAATCATTGGGTAATTGCACCAATGCAATGTGTGCTAGGCTACTTGGAAGGATTCACATACGTAGTTTCTGCGGTTACATTTCACCCTCTTTTACGTTTTTAAAGTGCTAATTCGCGAAGTGTTGTTGCCAGTTTAGTTCAAGTACTAACTATATTCCTGACGCGAAGTGCGATGGATCCAGTTATCACGACTCGCGTCGCCAGGATAACAATAAATAACGATAATGAGGAATTGAGCAAGAACGCAATATTGACGGCCGGTTACAAGAGACCGAATGCGTCAGCGCCACAACCCACACGATATCACCATGTCCGATAGGGTCTCAACGATTCTTGCGGCCCATCCCGAGGTTCATTTCCACGAAAACAGCACTCTTCAACCTGGTCAACTTTCGCCGTCAATTTCTTCATGCCTTTTTATCATATCATCGGCTAGCTTTTCGCAGTTTTGCTCAACCATGTGCAGTGATAGCATATAATGCACGCCAAGGTAAGTGATCAACGGCCATACGGAGGACATGACCCGGTTAACCTAAGCGATCACGCATTAACAGGCGCTCTAATGAAGCGCAAATGCGTTTCTTTCTCTACAACTATCATCATCATCATCATTATACATGTCAGCTAGAGGTGGTGAAACACCTCTCCTATTGCACCGCAATACATAAAGGAAATACATACATATATACAATACATAAAGGAAAAATAAATACGACAGTTTCATGCCAGTTGAGCTACCAGCAACGGATAGGTGTCGTTCCGGTAAGCCACAAGCCAGCTACTAGGCAAAAATATTTATTATTTATTATGTTTTACCCTACGAAATGAGATCGTAGATGGAGGGGGAAGCTAAAAGGGATGGGGAGGGACAAAGAAACTCACAGCAGGAACGCCACTGAGGTCGGCTCCTTGCCATGCCAGCAAGTGTATCCAGCCAAACATGTTCACCGTCTTTTAGACCCCAACCTGGGAGCCGTGAAGCTCCAACCGAGGCTAGCTCTGAAGTGAGGGACTTCATTCCTCTCGACCAAGTCATCACTTGGCCACCCCTCTTCTCCCACCCACATCCCCGGTGAGCAAACAACGCACGTCGAGGGAGTCGGTGGGCTGACATGCGCAACACGTGGCCGAGCCATCGGAGCCTGGTGCGGGAAATAACGGTGCTGAGCGGTTCATTCCCTTTTCCTGTGCCGTAAACAAGGCGTCGAACACGTTCGTTACTCACGCGGTGTTCCCACCAGGTGTGAGCCAAACTGCGAAGGCACCGATGGTCGAACGTAACTAGCCTCTTCATGTCCGCCGATCTTAGGGGCCAGGTTTCGCAACTGTACAGTAAGGTCGAATGTACCGCTGCATTGTACACTCTACCCTTCAGGGCGAGAGTAATGTCGCGCCGCCGCCATAGGTGGTGGAGGTTAGCAAAAGCATTTCGAGCTTTCGCTATACAGTTCGTGATCTCGTCTTCGATCCCAAGAGCGCTGATACAACTTCTTAAGTAGTTGAATTTCTGAACGACTTCTAGCTGATCCCCACGAAGCGTCAGCACAGGGGACAAAACCTGCCAATCTTGGAGGAACGCTTTGCACTTCCATGGTGCAAAGCAAAGTCCGAAGCGGCTGACAGCCAGTGCTCATCTGTCCAGTGAGGCTTCGCACGTCTGGGAGCTGTCACAGATGAGGGCAATGTCGTCTGCATACTTCAAGTCAAGAAGTCGTTCCCCTGGGAGTACCTCCACACCTTCCAAGTCATGTCCTGTAAATGCGATCTCCATGACTTCGTCAATAGCGAAGTTTAATAGGGAAGGTGACAGCGGGCATCTTTGTCTCACACCGCTGGAGATATTGAAGGGTGGCGACAGCTTGCCGTAAGCCCTCACTCTGCCCGTGCTTCGCGAATATAATGCTTGGATAATATTTACATATTTCTCAGGCACACCTTTCCTGAGTTGACCATTCCAACGTGCACATCGATCAACCGATTCAAAGGCACCTTTGATGTCGAGGAACACGAGTACGGTGGGCCGCCAATCTGTGTGACGGTGCTCCAACAACTGACGCAAGTTGAAGGTGTGGTCGATGCAGCCACGACCCCGACGAAACCCGGCTTGATCCTCACGAATCTGGCTTTCACGAGCGCCAGTCACTCTGTGAAGAACTATGGAGGCGAGTAATTTGGAGGGGATGGAGATCAGACTGATTCCTCTATGGTTGCCGCATTCCGAACGCGAGCCGCCTTTGAAGATGGGAACAATAACGGAGCGTCTCCAGTCGGTTGGACAGTCTCTTGCTCCCACAGTTTCACTAGTAATTCATGTAAATCATCAACAAGAGCAGAGCCTCCGAATGTAAAGAGGACTGGAGGAAAATCATCTGGTCGCGCGTCTTTGTTCAACTTCAACAGTCCGATCTCACGTTTGACTTCTGAGCGAGAGGGTGAATCCAAAAGGACAGTCCATAAAGCAGGGCGATCACTGACTGGCGAAAAATCGAACAATTCTGGCCTATTAAATTGCTTTTCAAAGTGCTCAGCCCAACGTTCCAGGCGTTTTGATAAGTTGTGCATAGGCTGTCCACTCTCGTCACGTATAGTTTCACTAACACTAGGTCTCTTGTTGCCCGTTTCTCGTATCAGACGGAATAACTTACGATGGTTGCCAAGGGCAGCGGCCATTTCCATCTCTGACGCACGAACAGACCACCAAGATTCGCCGACAACTATCATCTCACCTTGTGTTAGAACTAGGTGTAAACATTACTTCACAAGTACCGATGGTCAATGGCGGCCAGTGTCTTCCGAACAAATTGGTTAGGTCTTTAATCCATACAGTCATACTCGTTGTATTGCAGTGTTATGCACCCTACCTATGACTGACAGGTTTCTTTAGCTGATTTGGCTTCTGAAAAGCTATGGGATTTATTCATTCTTGGGTAACCGTCTGAATAATTTGATCACCATAATTGACACAATTACCATGATAGGAGAACTTATCTCTTGCTTCCAGTGGCTTTTCATCACCGTCCTACAACAATGCTTTGCGAAGCACAATCGAAGAAGAGCCATGGTACTTTCATTCCTTCGACAATACACTCATTTGAGGAAGTATCATGATCTTGCACGTACAGCAGCTGTTTAGCAACTCGCTTTCTCCTACTTCGTCTGCTTCTCTTTTCAGAAAAAGTCACGTGAGGAAAGCACTGGGCGCGATAGTGGCGTGGAAATTATAAAAAATGAACCTTACGATGATGGTCCTGGTGGAAAAGGGCAGTACACTTTCAAGATTTACCACGTCGGCAATCACTTGCCAGGTGAGCAACATCTTATACTATTTCATCTATAAACGCTAACTTATTATACCTCTCGACAGGTGGCATGCGTTCCCATTTTAGAGACGATAATTCGTACAGTGTTGTGTATCGCAAATCTGTGTTAGATAATCTTTTCAGTATACTGAGTGACTAGAATTCACCAACATTTTCAGTATGAAGCCTAAGTTCATGATTAACGAAATCCATCATCATTGATGAACTTTGAACGCATTATGGATCCGTAATGTACATGGTTTGTGGAATACGTATCAAAGTACAGGATGGGGAGCTAGTGGCATCATCTGTTATACCATGTGTGCGCTCTCAGGTTGCTGAAGGTTGAAAGTTTTACTCACCTTTGACATAGAGAGAAAAGCTTGCAAATGAGATATAAGTATAAAGAAGTTCTCACTTTCCATATTTTACAGCGGTAGTTTATTCCATGGATGGGCGTGTTTCAGTAGGAAGAAATTTAATAGAATATTTTGCCTGATCTTTGTGAGGATAGCAGATGCATCCCGTTACGAGTGAGATATATTGGGCCTTTTCGCAACACGACAGTCATTCTGTTGGACGTCTGTTGGGCATCTATCCGCTTAGGGGTGGGCGTCCTCGCGGTATACTCAGCCCGTGTGCGACTGGTGGTGCTCGAACGGCAGCGAAGCGCCGTTACGGCATACAGCTGACACATTATTATTATTATTATTATTATTATTATTATTATCATCATCATCAAATGCTGATTCTTATATATAGTTTCCGGTTGGTTTGGAGTCAACACTAGGAGTGATGGAGCTTTCGGGTATATTACGTCCATGGCAAAGTAGTTAAGATTTGTCTGCTTTCAACCCATTTGTTCATGGGTGATAAATCTTCGCGTATATTCTTCATGCATAGCTTTAGATGGCCAGAGAATGAGTGTACTATTTTGATGTCTGTGGCAAATGAAAATGGGCGCCCATATTCACATGTATCGCTCACGTGAATGAGAAAAATTAGTGGTCCCAGTACGCTTCCAGTAGCATTTCTAGTAGCAGAACAGAACTGATCTGTCTGCACTTTTTCTTTTCGCTCATTCAGGCATGATTCCAACGGATCCGTAGAGGGTTACCGATCCCATAGGATTCACACCAGCCAACAACGGTTTGTAACATACAATCAAACGCTTTTTTGCATGTCCATAGGGATGACAATGATCATCATACCATCATCAGTTGTTTATGCAACAAGTTCAAGAACTTGCACCTGGCATGTGACACAAGAGCGTTTTGTAGAAAACTGTTGTTTTGAACTGTTGGGTTGGTTAAATCTCTTTTTAAAAGATTTTTGAAAACGCAATACCCCTTCCTACCCACTAACATTCAATAATCGCCCTAGAAGTTTACATGTCACCTCGACTAATGGCGGCTTGCAAAGGAAGTCGTAGCTCTGGAGGTCATCCTTGTCCTCTTCACGTACATTAACAAACATGAGAGTGGAGAATGAGCCTTGTTTTAACTCATCTTCTCAGACCCGATAAATCCATTACTATTCACTAATAAGCAGGTTTTATCTCGTCAGAAATTTCATTCTCGGCCAGCTTTCGAGCTTCGTTCATGTCGACCTAAGTCGATTGCGTACTATCCTTTAGTTCGCCTCTTGTTGCGATCGACCATCTTTCAGTGTTGGCCCGAAATCGTTTAGCTCGATCGATGGATATACAACTGGCATCTAAGTGCAGCATCTTACCAACACACTAGCACCACCGCGTTTACGCAAATGGTCTTTCCGAAACACTTGGTGTCCCAGGAAATTTAACTGAAGTCACCTATAGCTATTGCATACCAAGAAGTGAAGTCATCAGCAGTACGCGCACACACTGTATCGACGCTTCGCTGCCACGCGACCACCACCGGTCGCGCGTGAGCTTAGCATACCGCGAGGATAACTGCCTATACGCGAATACTAATCGGTAACTTAGGGATTGCAAGCCAGGCGTGTAATCTTTTCGGCCACCGGCTGATGCGCACCACCTTTCCTTGATGTCAGCAATGTTACAGTTTGACCATCAGTTTCTGCACATTTAAGAACCAACACCTACGTGGCAAGAGCTAGAGAGCTGTTGTTCTGGCCCGGAATGAGCAGCCAAGTACGGGACTACGTCTCCAATTGTGTAGCATGCAGAGCACACGACGTACGCCAGCCAAAAGAACCGATGATGCTACGTGACGTTTCAGACAGACCTTGGCAGATGGTTGCACTAGACATTTTTTCTCACGATGGAAGGAACTATTCTGTTGTGGTAGATTATTTTAGTGACTACTTCGAGATCGATGCGCTTACGACGTCTAGTACGCAATCCGTGATGAACATGTTGCGGTGCCAATTTGCTCGGCATGGAATACCCGAGGTGGTGATTTCAGATAACGGGCTGCAATTTAATAGTGCAGTTTCGTGCATTCAGCAAGAAGTGGGATTTTCGTCACCGGCTAACCGGCCCATACAATAGCCGCTCAAACGGTAAGGCTGAATCCGCAGTGAAGGAGGCGAAGAAAGTGCTTACAAAAACCAAGGAGACCAAGCAAGATCCGTACATAGTGCCACTGGATCGAAGGAATACACCATCTACTTATATCAGAGCCAGTGCTGCACAGCGTCTATTCAGTCGCCGAACAAGAATGCTAATACCGACCGCTACAACGCTACTGTAGCCCGAGATAGCGCCGTCCGATGTCCTACACGACCGACTACGGAACAGAATGCGAAGGCAAAAAAGTAGTATGATCGCGGATCGAAAAGCCTCCCACTACTAGGTACAGGAGAAGAAGTATGGGTGCAGCCATTACCGGAATCCGGTAGATGCTGGCGGAAAGCAGTGATCGAAGGCCGGAAGAGAGAAAAGAGCTATGAAGTCAAGGTTGGGGGCAATCTCATTCGACGGAATCGGGTGAAACGGAGCAGAGTGCGTCAGAAGTGGACACCGCAGAGAGAGGGTCAGCAACAACAACCGAAGAGGAATACTGCTACCCAACCCCAGGACATAAAACGCACACGAAGTTGTAGGCAATACGGAACATATTGTAACGCCGTCCTAAAAACGGAAAAGGAAAGGATGAGATTGGGGCTAGAAATGCTAGTGTTTGAATACGCTGTAATGCCGATCGAGCGTCACAGGCCAGACCGATAGGGAGTGAGCATGTTGCTGGAAGCAGATTGGTCAGCCAATCAGGAAATAGTTGGCCCGTGATCGCGTCCAGCCTGCAACCATCCACTGAACGTGCAAGTGACCAATCAGGCGCCAGCAGGCGAAGGAGCGCATACTCGTGCACCCTTGAGCTAAGGCTTGTGGCATTGGACCGAGGGAAGAAGCGCGCGGGCCCAATCCCGCCAATGGTACATCCACTAAGAAAGTGTAGGTGATTTTAGACAGACTGAATGTGACGAGCAAGCACCAACCAATGGGAAGGGAGCCAGCGACACAATGCAAATAACAGGGATGAGCCATTGAGACGGGCTGTTATAAATAGTGTATGTACTCTATAAATCTTCGAGTTAGATTTTAATAAACGACTTCGTGATCACCGCCCAGTCTTCTTGCTTCCCGTAGGGCAACATTACATCCTGTCTCTTGCCTTTCTAGATTGGTGAATTTTAAATGTTGTGGTCTCGATTTATGTAAAACCAAATATTGCGGCATATCCGCTGGCTTGCAAACAGGCTTTTTAGCTAACGGCTTTGTTTAGGGTCTGTAGTTGTCCTCGTCTCTAAATTTTGTCGTCCTTTCCTGGCATCAGTCCACTTACCACCATCACTATTTTCCCAGTGCTTAGCCACATCCTGCAACGGCTGTCACTCGGCTTTAGAACGGTCACCTTATCTGACGCATGCGGCAGCGCAGACAAGCTAAAACGTGCTTCTGCTTGCGTCTTCCTTTTTTTCCTTTCCTGCCGTTTCCTTTACTTCCCTCCTGACGACCATCACTAACGTTCCTTGTATAATGCCTAGCCTAATTGACAGCATCCGCAACCCCACTGCTGTCCTACCATCTGTAGCTACCTTCCTGCACCATTTAGTGGACACCCATTGGCAGCAGCCCTTTGTAATTCCACACCGTCCTATTTTCTTGGCGACGTTCGACATTCGAACTCTAATTCAAGTAGGTCGACATTATTATTGGGTGCTGGTGCACCCGCCGTATAGCTCGATTACGACACGCAATCTCGACTGAGGCTACAATTTGCTTTAAAGCAAACCTATGTTATTTCGATCACTGGGAGCTGACCAAACCGCTGGAGATACCAGATGCGTTTACATGGACCTTGACAACACACGCATTGAGGTGGCGACTTCGAGTGCGCATGCTCCTTATCCCGTCACGACGCCGATAAACAAAAGAACTACCACAAGCGCTTCTATCAGTCTATAAATAGATCGGATGTCCCATACATAAGCTCTACACTGAGATCCCAGAGTGCGAAACAAACACTTGTGCAAGGAGTTAGTTTCCTTCAACAATATGAAAAGCACCGAAAGAAGACGAAGGCTGGTATATGCATGCATTTCGTATTGTCTCCTCAGTACGTCGCTATCCGCATCCAGTGCTCTTACTATTGCGTAGAAACAAACTCAAACCCTCTGCGGCTAACCTCAGACGTGTGGCGTCCGCTCACCTAGAGACGGCTCAAACCAGACTTGCGGAACTACTAGAAACTCATGCACGCTTACTACCCGTTTTCGAGGATCTGTCTCTGTGTTGCCGGGTTGTTTTCACTTACTTTTGTAAAGCAACTCTTGATCGTACGAGACGAAATCGCTCTGCTCGTTTAAAAAATTCGCTGACGAACAACCAAGAAGAGGAACCAATTGCTCGTGATCCCAGTAAGTACGTGATGAAATGTCAAACGTACAACTTGATACGTTGCAATTAGAAGCATTATCACTTGGGCTTGATTACCAAGTCCCCCTTAGAACGTTGAACGGTCTGTTTATAGAAGCCCAATTTGAGAATTTTTTTGACCGGT